ATTATACCCTATGGCCAGATCTCCGAAGCGGCTCCAAAGCCAAATCGAGACAGAAACCCAGTCTGGAGCTCCGGATCAGATCATGGCCATCCGAAGTGGCCAGATCTGAAGCCAGATTGGATCACTGCCGACTTGCACAGGCCTACTCTCTACACCTGTAAAACTATCTTCTTTAACCCTCTCCCACTTCCTAAGTGACTGGAGCCTCTACATCATTGAAACTGGCAGGCTATACCCTATATACCACAGGGAACCAAAGACCCTTGTTCAACCCTACACTAGCTCCCGATCATTCTGAACTATTTTTTCCTTGCTTGCACCAATAGAAAAGCAAATTAAGTATTGAAAAAAAAATCAATGCTTAATCAGTCTTAGAAGGGAAATGATTATTTACTCAGTACTTGTTGGGCTTTACTTCTCACTCTGGTCCCAGTTCAGGGAGGCTTTCTTCAGAAAAGCCAAGGCAACTATTTTCCAGGATCATATTGATTGTGTTAGTGCAGGGCTTAAGATGAGCAATCCTCAAGTTCCCCACTTAGATGCAAGGAAAAAGGGGTTTCTCATTAACAGGGACCCGGGTTTTCCATTTCCCATGGAAAAACAGCGTTAACTGCAGATTTTGCCTTTTACCAGAGACAAACATGGATTTCTCCTTTTACCAGAGAAACCCACAAATTTTGCCATTTTTGCAGTGAGCTCCCTGCAAGCTGGCAGAGTTCCAGCCTGCAAGGAGCTTATCTTATCTTATCTTTCGTACGTCCCTCTCGTCAAGAGCTCTTGGTAATCTGCAGACTGTAGTAATTTGTATAAACTGTTTGAAACCTGTACTCAGCAAGTCTGCAATCCACTGTAATCGCTGGGTGACAGAACATCTGCATGCTGTAACTAAGAAATCAACTGCTTCTGCCTATGCTGCAAGCCATCAGTAGCGTAAGTAAAATAAACTTTCTGTGTAACCAATGCGCATTAAACCATCTAAAACATCTGACTCCTGCTCACCATTAACACCCGCCTGTCCGGTCATAAATCCCCCCTTGTGCCAAGCTGGTCGTACCGACCCAGGCTCGCAGGTCAAGGGTGCACCGGCATCTGGGCGTGACAGGTGGCAGCTCAATACTACAGTCTGAGCCTGCCCCAGGTACAGATCTGGGGGGCGTGGGTCTCCCCCACCCCCCAGGAGTGTGCACAGCAGCTGGGAACCATCCCCCCCCCACCCCCAGACAAGCCACCTGTGGCCCTGCCCTGCCCTGTTCCCACTAGGGCCCTGAAACCACACATTGCAGCCCCGGGCCCAAAGCCCCACCCACCTGGGCAGCAGCCTCAGCCTGCGCCTGCCCTGGGTACAGATCTGGGGGGTGCCGGTTCCTCCCTGTCTCCTGGGAGTTTGTGCAGTAGTGGGGAGCTGCCCTGCTCAAGCCTGCAGCAAGGGGAGAGCAAGGGTAGAGGCCTGTGGACCCAGGTCCATATCCCTGGCAGCTAGGGGCCCTCTCTGGCAGAACTGGGGGAGCAGGGGACTTGAATTTTAAACCACAGATTTGGGGGGTTTTAGCAGAGAATTTGTATTTTTTTTTATCAAGGAAAAATCAGGATCCCTGCTCATTAATCAGTACCATCCACAACATGGATTTACTCAGCACTTATAGATAAGCCTTTGCTACACAAGGCAGGCTTGTCAGGGAATTATTATTTGATTTACTAGCAACCTTTTACGCACACTTGCACACTCTAACTGAGCTGTTTCCTCTTTTTAAATCCTCCCTCCAGTCCTGGTTCCTACTGCAAGTGTAGCAGGGTGGGGCCCATTAAGCCTCCTTTCACTCCTTCCTGGACACTAAGGTGTGTATAGCTAAACAAAGCTTCCATTGTTGAATAGAAAGTCTTTCCAGGAACCCACTTAAAATGGAGAAAGTGAAAGATGAAATGGACTTCCTGTCCCAAGTTTCTTTAAAACAGATTTGATTTTGAATGGCTATGTGACAAGAAAAATAAATCTCTTAGCACAAAAACTTTATGGGATTAATGTAGATAAAAAAGGCACAACATTGAGAATATCCTAAAAATACATGCCTCTCTTATTTACTTAAATGGCTAGTTATATCTGATGATAGTGTTATTACTGCTAAGGGTCAGGTAAACAATTTGGTTACCCTCTCCAAAGAAAAGTTACCATTTCAAAAGTCTTTTGGAGGACACATGTTGATTTCCAGGGCTTCTTTCATCTTAATCAATTTTCAGATGTGCACATGGCAAAATATTAAAAAGACACTAAACTTCCCATGCTCTGCATTTTTCTTCATATATGGTGATTTCCCTTGATAATGATACTTGCTTTTCTTTCAGCTTTCTCATTTGTTTGACTATAGCCAGAAAGATAATTTTCAATGAGTTCTTAAGGACCCAGTGCAGTCTACAAAACCAATTCAGTCTTCGGGCACCAGGCAATGTTTGATGATGCTCTGGAAGAAGCTATAAAGGATTTAGCAGGTCTTAAAATTTTTAAGTTTCCACCAGAAGCAAAAGAAAAGAGACCTGAATCCTGGTATTTCAATATTATGGCAAAAGATGCAAAAATCAAGAGTTAGGCAGGTTTAGATTCTTTGGAAATTTCTTATCAGCCACAAATGCAAGATACTTCCCATCTTTCTTCCAGACATCTGAATGCAAAATAATAAAGTGTCCCTGGTACAACATAGGGCTTCCTTATGAGGAACAGGTTTAATTTATTTTTACAAACTTGGGCTAGAACCAGAATAAGCCAGTGGGCACTACAAGTCAGTCAAGATGGGCACTTCCCTTTTATCCTGTCTTCCTTTATAATTTTTTTGCCACATGCTGCTACTTGTTGCATAAGAGTAGATCCATATCAGGATTGGCAAGGACTTTTATGGGTCTAAATATTTGTACTACTAACATCCATGAATCATGTGTTGCAAAACCTCACAGACGCCTATTTCCACATTTTTTAAGGTTTACCTTAGGAGAAAAGCATTTGTAAGATGTAACTCTTTGTACTGGACTAGCTACAGCACACACAGTTGGAATTCCTAATCATAGTAGTGATAAAACTGAAGGAGGGAATGTTATTTACATTGATAGCATGCAGTTAAGACCTCCCTTTTAACAATATGCAAGCTTGCACACCAAGTTAAACCTTATAGCAAGAGTTTTGTTGTCATTTATTAAAGGAACTTCCTCATTCTTGAGTGCCCCTGTGTCCTGTAGGTCATTTTCAGTTCAGGAAATTCTTAGTTTCTCCCAATGACAATTTTTACTAGATCAGCCTTCTCAGTTGGCAAATATAGTTTCCGTTAGCCTAGGCTAGTGGTTCTCAGCCTTTTTAGACTGAAGGCAAACCTCATTAGACTCAAAGTACCCCTCCATAATTCTGGTGAATTGAGCTGAACCCCATTTAAAAAACAAATTTATTTATGGCACTGTGTACCTCATTGTAGAGGGGCCAGGCAATAGGGAAGAGCTTGGGTCTGAGCTTATCTGCTTATCTCCTCACACCTCAGCATCCTTCAAAGGATTTCACGGCAACCCATGGTGCCCAGGCGCCCTTGTTGAGAGTCACTGGCCGAGATCCTAGGCCTTTGCCTGTGGGTCTGATTGGTTCCAGCTCAGAAACTCTGTTTATTGCAGCTCTCTTCTTTAACATTACATAGCTCCAGACTTCTTTCTGCATTAAATCATTAGCAAAAAACCATGAAGGTAACTGTCTCATATCTCATTTTGGTTTACTAGCTTGATGGATCTATAAACCCACAAACACTCCCAGACACTTCGAGGGGCTCATCTTCTCCTTTTCTGGATTTCAATTATCAAAAATGACAGGTGAACTGAGGGGTGAAACTCTCCCTTCCATAAATCATTACAGACTTGGAGCCATCAAGATGGCAATCCATACAGCCTTCTATGAAGAATTTAATGGAGGGCATCCTTGGAGAATGAGACAATAAAGGCTTCAGTAATTTATATTGTCCATGAAATAAAGAGTCTTCTCTTTATATAGAGCCAAGTAATCCTAGCAGGAAGCAATTACATGAGCAGCAGGGATCCAGGTTTTCCGTTTTCCATGGAAAAATGGGGAAAAAGTGGATTTTCCCTTTTACCCAAGAAAAATACAGAATTTTCATTTTAACAGAGAAACACATGGCTTTTAATCTTTTGCAAAAAGCTCTACAGGCTGGCAGAGTGCCAGCCTGCAAGGGGCTGGGGGGAGAAGGAGGAGGGCAGTCAGGCAACAGGTAGCATGCACATGGCCACCAGGCAGCCTGGAAAGCAGGTAAGTGTGGTGTGGGGGGAGGAATTGAGGCCCCCATATGGAGGGTAGGAGGGAGGGAGTTGGGCAGGGCAGAGCAGGCCTTTGAGAATGGGATATTTTCTTCCCTGTAAATTGGTACTCTCTTCCTGCTGAAAATATAGAAGACAAAAGGACTTTCATCTTTGTAAAGGAGGCCTCTAGTAGCTCAAGAGCCTGGGACCACCCAGTTTCAGTCCCTTGGATGTCCTGCAGGGAAACCTCTCCCTGTCTTCCAACAGCTTCTACTCTAAGCCTAAGTGTTTCGAGTCTGGATACACTTTTACAAAAAGACCAATTCACAAGTAGCACAACTTGATTTGTCGGTATTGTCAAAAAAACAATGTAACCCGTGAAAAGCAGATGAATGCTGAACTTAAAGACAGCCTTTTGCTGACCTCTCCCTAAGCTTAAAAAACCCTTTTGCTGACAGTAAGCAAAACCATGAATCTTTTGCTGACAAGGCTAACTACAGAACCAGTTCCAGGTAGTTTAAAGTTGTCCTGTGTGTCTTGCAGTTTTGTAACAGCAGACCGAAGAGCTTGAATGCGTGCGCAGCTATGTAACAGTTAATGTATAAATATCAAGCTGTAAACTCAGGTTGGGGGGCTTTTTGTCTTTAGGCATTGAGCACCCCTCTGCAGAGCAATAAATCTTCTTGCCAACACTCCCTCATTCTCTGCCTAATTGATCGCGGCTAGGAGCGAGCCCAAAGACGAGATGTGGCCAATGTGCCTCAGTGTATGAGCACACCCTTCGGTGTATGGGTGCTACACAGTAGCTGGCCAATTTCCCCAACAGTATTCTGTTTCACAGAATAAAATGTTAAAAAAAAAATCAACAAGATTAGGAGTAAATATGGTTGTTTAAGAGTGCATTCTATCATTGGGATATAATCACCAGGGTTGTACTACTTCTTCACTATACCCCTTGTACAGGATGTGCCACCCCCCGGCCTCCCCTGTGCCCATACACTCACAAACACACACAGTTTAATTAGATTGACCATGTACCTGTTGGAGGTCTGGATACTCCTCATTGCTGCACGCTGCCATGCTGAGTCCTATGGGTTGTGAATTCAAGACCTGTGATGCCAACCACTTGAATTGGTTAATTTCTCTTTAGCATTTGATCTATTTTAACCACTGATTTTTCTAATGATGGCTGGCTAAATTCTAAACAAAATTATCTCATTACCTTTTGTGGTTAATATGAATGATTTTTTTTTTTAATGACTGGTTTAAATCCTGAAATATATTTAGGTGCCTGAAAGATATTTAGGAGCTATAGGCTTAAACACCTCTTCAGACCTGGGCCCTTGTAACCACCAGTTCTATAAAATGAACTAAGTGGGGACCAGTTATCAAAGGAAATGCTTCAGGCTATTTAAAATACAATTTCAGATTGCGGTGTGTATGATTCATGTCATATTTTAACAGTATCTTCAAATCATATTACAGATACAGGGCTGCTACCTCAGTCCAAATGAAACAAAGGAATCTTGTTAGAGTAAAATAATTACTCATATCTTGCAGAAAGAAAAAGTGGGTTCCTAAACTTTCCAGGCCGTCACAGAACGTGTTTTATTTTCATTGTAAACTGGAACCATTTTTAAAACAGTGTCAGGAAATTGCTGTGCTATAACCTGTTTCATCAAAACAGTTTGTTTCATATGTAAGACTGTTAGAGCTCAAAAGTCAAATCATTCATGGATTACATAGTATGTCATGGAGTAAGCAATTTATGACAACTTAATGGCTGAAACAGATAAATGTTTTAAGTTTTTGCCCTTTGAGGGAGGAGGAAATATTGATTGGGATAATATAGTTAATGTAATACAATTTGTAGAGTGCCCTTCACAAGTTGCGTTCTACAGAAAGTTAATTGTCAATGAAAGAGAGAAAAGTGTTTTAAAGATGGAATCTGAGGAATTGACTCTATCTGCCCCAGTGGTTCTCAACCCTTTCTGGACTTGAGGCACCTCTAATTGGATTTGAGACATCCCTCCATAACTTTTGTGAATTCATGGGGCACACAATTTCAAAAACTAATAGATATATTGTAGTGCTTACCTTCTTGCAGAGAGGCTGGGAAGTGGGGATGGAGAATTCTGCAGGAAAGGGGAAGCCTGAGCCTGTGCTTATCTGCTTAATTTAGCTGCTTATCACACCTCATGGCACCCTCCAAAGGATTTGAGAGCACACCAGTGTGCCCAGGCATCTTGGTTAAGAATCACTGACCTACCCTATTAAATGCGCTCAAGTTTAAAACATACACAGAGTCTTGGGAAAACTGAAAGGGATAGAGAGGAAAGGTAATTTTGAGTAGAGTATGAGAGAGAACATTGGAAGGTGTAATAAATATATACTCCTTACCTTCAGATCTAGTTGTTTCTCATTCTCACTCAGTAGGAGAAAATGATTACATTTTGATCTCTGAGTCATGGTCACCAAAGCATTACAATGCTTTTTAGCTCCATTTTCGTGTATCGTATCTAAAGTATAAATTTCTAATTTAATGCATATTTGATTTTGGTGAATTAAAATGTAACTAGAAAATATTCTTCCAAAGAGGCAATATTCAGTTTTCATTGTATATTATTTATAAAAATAGAAATTAACTTCCTTTACAATATGCTTTAAAATCTGCATAAAAAGCACTATAGATATTATTTAAATCCACCTACTAAAAGTGAATGAAATGCACAGCAGTAAGTTCTATCAGTTACGTTTGTGGGGTAGTTTGATTTACTTCATAAAATTATCTTAGTTCCTAAACAGTAGGAAAATACAGGAGAACAGCTCTAGATTAATAGTACACTATTTGGCCTCACCAGTGCCAAACAGAGGAGGAGAATAGTTTTCCTTGATTTGCATGCAACACTCCTGTTAATATAGCCTCATATACTGTTGACCTTTTTTGCCAAAAGGGCACATTGTTGGCTCATATTCAGCATATGGTCCACTGTGAACCCCAAGTACTTTTTTTCAGTACTTTAGCCAAGTCAGCCCTTCTCCAGTGCATTTATGCATGTGATTGTTCTGTTCCAAGCATAAGACTTGGCATTTGCCCTTGTTGAATTTCATCCAATTGATTTTGGACAATAGCTCCAATTTATCCAGGACCTTCTGGATCCTGTGCTACCCTCCACTTTACCCAACTTGGTGTGATCAGCATATTTGCCAAGTGTATGCTCACTGCTTTCATAGGGCTCCAATAAAAAAGCTAAGGTAAATGGACAGACAAGCATCATTCAGATTAGCAGTACCTTCTTGTAACATTACTAATTTTCTCTCTTACCCTCAACAATCCTTTTCAAAACCCTATAATTTTAGTCTCTGGGCTCTGATCTTACCTTGTTCAGTGCTTGTAAATATGTCTAACCATGCGATATCTAAAACATAACAGAGCAATATATTTTGTGGTTAGTTTTTAGTTGGCAGAATGAGTACCTATTGTAAAATATTTAAAAGTATTCTTCAGCAGTGTAATATTTAGTTTTCAAGTACTATATTTCATGGTGTGTAGGTTGATATGGTGTATAGATTGACCCCTGGCTTTCCTATTTGAATGGTAACCATTTTCATAGGCATGGTGTGCAAGTCAGGGCTGGGCTCAGCTGGTTTGGCCCCATTCTCTGTGAGCAGCACTGCTGGTGCTGCTCACAGGGGATAGGGCCATGCCAGCCAAGTACCAAGCCTGTCCCCATCTCCTGCATCCCAAGCAGAGTGCTGACCCCAGCCCCGTCCGCATCCCCTGTGAGCAGAGTCAAGCCCAGTGCCGCCTGGTGCTGCTTGTAGGGGACGAGGATGTGTACAGTGCTCAGCTAGCATGGCCCCATTCCCTGTGAACAGCACTGCCTGCAGGGGATGAGGCTGCTCCAGCCACGTGCCACTGAGCCCTGTCTCATTCCCATGCCTGTCCCCATCCTTATCCCCTGCGAGTGGTGCCGGGCTCACAGGGGATGGGGCTGTGCTAGCCAAGTGTCAAACCTGGCCCTTTCTGCTGCGAGCAGCACTGCCAAACACCGAGCCCGGCACCACTCACAGGGGATGGGGCTGGGCTTGGCGCTCAGCTGGTGCAGCATCATCCCCTGCAAGCAGTGCTGTTGTGGCCCAGGCAGTGTTGCTCACAGGGGATGGGGCCGTGCAAGCTAAGCCCAGCCCCAGCCCCAATTTTTTGATATAGCACAGTATATAAGTCAAGTTTGATTTTTAAGACAAAAATTGGGTTTCAAAACCCAACTTATACACCACAAAATGTGGTATATCAATTGTTATACCAATAGGAATAAGACTTAATTTTCTTCTAAGCATTTACTGTTGCTATGAATTTCTATACCTATAATTATAATTGTGTATCACACAGCCCATTATCTCTGTTCAAAATCTGATAACTATCTTCAATGTCTTTTATGACATAAATCCATGAAGAGATGGATTAGTAGGGCAGAGTGAATGTTTAATTCAGCGGTTCTCAACCTTTTTGTGATTTGAGTGGCACCCAATTAAAAAAAAAACTAGTTTATATTACAGTGCTTACTTCCTTGCAGAGGGCCCAGGCAGGGGCAGGTTGGGGATTGGCTAGGCAGAGAAGTCTGAGGGCTCAAACAAACATTCAGCTTCTCCTGGGAGAGCTGCTGCTCTCCCAGGATAAACCACAAGTGTAAAGATGTTCAGACTTTTTCCCCCAAAGTAAAAATGGCTGGTCCAGGAAAAAAAAACAACCTAGGAACAGTTAGGGTTAAATCACTCCCAAAGGAGTTTTTTCTGGATAGCAAGTGTCTATATGTGATGGGGCTTCTTTCAGAAGAGACAATAGTTCTCCAGCATCCTCCCTTTTCCAAGGAAACAGTGTGTTGCTGGACTCAGCTCCTCCAGCATGGAGCAGCACATACCCCCTTCACAATCCCTATATTATGCTGCAGGGAAACATAGGCTGACCATGGGCAGCCTGAACTAGCCAATCAGGGCTGGCCTATGCTGTGCTGCCATCTGACACCAGACAATCTAAGGAAGCATGCAGAGCATGCTGAGATATGTGCACTGGACCAGATCCCCCCTCTGCTTCTCCCCCCACCCCCCGGCTGCACAGTGTCAGCACTGCAAGCTTTCTATTCTTTGGGGCCTCAGTATTCAAAAAGCTGTATACATGACTCTGGGGAAGTTCTTCTACTAGAAGAAAAAACCTGGAGAATTCTCCCAGATTATGAGCCTGTGCTTATCTCCTCACACCTTGAGGCATCCTTCAAAGGATCTCACAGCACCCTGGTTTAAAATCACTGCATTACAAATAAAGTTAAATCACACTTGGAGTGGGGAAGCATTAAATGCCCTTAAGGTATCTGTCCAGTCTCCTCTTGAAGACTTCCAAGGTTGGGAACTACCCCACTTCCTTGGGAAGTCTGTTCTAGATTGTAGTCACCCTTACCATAAAGAAACCCTTCCTTACATTCAACCCAAAACCATCCTCTAACAGTTTATTACCACTGCTCCTTGTCCTCCCCTGGGGTGCCCTAGTGAACTGTTTCTCTCCCCTTACACACTTACAGATGGCCACCAAATCCCCCCTCAGTCTTCTCTTCCTCAGGTTGAACAGTCTCAGCTCCCTTTGTCTTTCCTCAGTATGTTTATCCTCAAGGTCCTTAATCATTCTTGTGACCCTTGTCTGGACCCTTTCAAGATTCTCCACGTCTTTTATGTGCAGTGCCCAGAACTGGACACAGTACTCCAGCTGGCGTTTCACCAGCACCGAGTAGATAGGAAGTATTGCTTGCTTAGCCCTGCTTGCGATGCATCGGCTGATGCATCCCAGAATACTATTAGCTCTGTTGACCACAGCATCGCACTGGCAGCTCACATTCATCCTGTGATCTGGATGTAAAAAGTAAAATTGTACCTTCATCGGATGCTGTATCCTTGACTGATATTTCACGATGGCCATGCTCATCTAAGTCAAAATGCACGGTTTTTGAATCCTCTGTCTGTATGTAACATTTCTTTCTTTCACGAAGTTTATATGCTGATCATAAATGAATGTTTAATTAATTTTAGTACACATGGGAAAACTGAACGGTTAGTTAATAACAAACAGAATGCATTCCTACGGGACTCTCTTGCTTGTAATCATTGTGCTTGTTACAAAAGGACTAGACGTGTCTTAAGATAAAAATGCAGGCACCATGACAAAAGATATGTGGAGGGGGCCTGGACGGATATACCTTGGAGTTTGACTGTGTTTTGCTTTTCTGATGAGAAAAAACAAACTGCCAGTAAATTTTGGTCATGAGCGTAAGACAGACAAATGGGTATTGGCTACCTGTTATGTCCATGCATCCTATCACAATGCAGTTCAACTAAGCATGTAGCAGCTACTTAGGCATTATAAATTATTGGGGGTGTTTCTAGTGCTGCAAATTTTCAGAGAAAATTACAGCAATAGAAATCCTAGCCAGAAGCAGGCTTGCAGGTGTCCCAGCCTGCAGTTGTCCCCTCTCCCCTGTGGGCAAACTAGGGCTGAGCTCAGGGAAATGGCTCCCCTTCCCACCATGCCTTCTGAAAACCAGGGTCATCCAGGGAGAAGCTGAGAAGCAGGGATGCTCCCTGCACCTTACCAGGTACAAGGGAAGCTGCTGCTCAGCTCCTCCTGGTATCCAGGAGTCAAGCATAGCATACAGGTGCAAGAAACTCACACAGGCAAGATCTTCCTCATCAGAAGTCTAACATCTTTCATGCCTGTCTACATCCTCAGTATAGCCTTGATTCAGACTGTAAGCCCAATTATCAGACTGCCAACAGGATGGCTAGTACAGATTAAACACAAATCCAAACTGCATTTCTGTTGTACTCTTTTTGTACACCAGAAGTCCTTACCCCAAGCATTCACCATTGTCCATCTTTTAATTTGCTAATTAATGCCCTTCATAATTACAACGTTATTACATGCCTTTATCTAGCTTTGGTTGTGTTGCCCTCCACATTTTCTTTACCTACTCTCCCAGTTCATACTGATTCTATCCATCTTGGGATATTCTTGAACAGATTTCAGATATGCTGATGCACAGTATTGCCTTTCACAGAACTTTAAAGCTAGGGACAGACATTCAAAAAGCCTGAGTCTGAATCAATTCAATCTTTGCAGGTTAGTCTAACCTGACTAGGCTAAATCAGTTTTGTACCCAGACAGACATCCCAGAAATGCAGGCACATGCCTGCAGTGGCTCAAGCTAGAAGCCAGGGGACGTGAGAGCAGCCCTCCCTTTCCTGTACAGGGCTAAGCTGAGGGGGGCATGGCCAGGCCCCAGCAGGACAGTGTGATTAGGGAGGGGTTCCATCCCTTGATAACAGAGCATTTATCAGCTCTGTAACCAGCATTTAACACCCTATCAGAAAATAAAGCCCTGCTCATTACAAGCTCTTCTTAAACAGCTTCTTCCTAAGGAAGGAATGCAGGGACATTACCAGCTGAGCTGTTGATTACCTCCAAAAAGCCCTAAGCGGACACTGTCCTATCTGTCTTACACAGCATTAGCTAGCATACCACATGCTGGCTACAGTCCATGCTGTGGAAGAGAGGAGGAAAAGATCTCTGCTTAAGCAGTGAGTGGGGAGGAAATGAGGAGCACAGGGAAGCCAGCAGACTCTGCTGTGCCTGGAAGTCTCTGCTGGAGCTCCAGCCAGGGAGCAAAGCGGAGCGGTGAGCTCTTCTGTGGAGCAGAAAGCCCCAACCAGACCAGAGAGCATGCTGGGATGCTGGGGGTGTTTGGTTTAGCTTAAACCAAAGAGTCTGGGACAGACATTGCATAAACCAGTTTAAGCCAAATCAGTTAAGTCTGATACTACATTCAACCAGGTTTATCTCAAACCAGTTTCAGCCATTTTCAAACTGGCTTATATACACTGAACGGCTGTTCTGTTACAGGTTTAAACTACATATTACACAGTTTAAGTGATCAGAAGCTAATGTCTGCCCCTAGCCTAAAACTATAGCTTTTTAACTCCTACTACTCTGGCCAGCTTGTGGCCTAGTTATTAGGAACTAAACCTCATCTGACAATGTATAACAGTATAGTATGTAATTCAAGGTATAATGTCAACTGATCTCATCTGGTGGGGAGGACACTGGAGAGCTTAAAGCCCTCAGGATTTGACAGATGGCAGAAATGAAGCAGACTGATCGAGTTTGGGGAGATTTGAGCCAGAAAAAAAATTAGGGGTTAAGCAGCAGAGCTGAGTGTGGAGTGAAATGGTGTCAGTTGATGAATGAGAACGTAGGCTAATCAGTTTAGGCATGTGTGGGGAGCAATGGTAATGTGAATGGTAAATAAAGAGCTAAGTTGTATAGGAAGAGGTTTGGAATTAGAGAAAACACCAAGAGGAGAATAAATAGTGTTTTCTTGCATCCAGCTTCATTGTGAAAAAAGTGTTCCAGTTTTGCAGTCTAAAAGGGGAAGGATAACATAGCAAAGAAAGCATTCCCTTTTCTGTCCGTTTCCCCAGCAATTTCTCTTACCTCAACAGAAAAATACTCTCCTTTAAAACCTTTGAATACCGAGTCCCAACTTCACATTCTGAAAATAAAACCAGATCTGTGGGACAGGAGTATGAGGCAGATTGCTTCATTGGTGTGACTAGAACGGGGTGAGAGGGCACCTCTTCCATGAGCTGACTACAAGAGGGTGGGGGGAACTTTTGCTGCAGCAGGGAAGGCTCTGTGCTGCCCCTGCCCACCAGAGAAACTGTGCAGTACAGCACTCCACCAACAGGGTTGGCACAAGGATTTTTGTTGTCCTAGGCAAATTAAATTTTGCGACCCTCCCTTTTCATTCTGGGAGGAGTATTTGTTCTGGAAGGCAGTGTCAGGCCAAGCCTGGTTGAGCACCTGCCTGCCCAAAACACCTCTTTTGCCGCTCCCTACAACTTGCTGCCCTAGGTGAGCACCTGTGCTGCTTGTAGGATTACACCAGCCCTGCGTAGCAAGCAGCATATTGGGTAGGCAGAGGGCAAGTAGAATGGTACTCTCCTCCCCCACGAGGGAAACCCTGTACTACTTCTGCCCAGCACTGTACTCAGCAGTGTATCTGGGGGCAGTGGAGGGGGGGACAGGGGCAAATGGAGTAAACAGAATGGTACTTTCCCTTTTTGGGGAGACTTTGCTGCAGCAGGCACAGCCTTGCTCCCAATATGTATGTATGGGGTAGGGGAAGCAAACAGGGCACCAGGATCTGCTCTAAGGAAGCATGGCCATGGGAGAGTTGAGACTCCTGATGCTGAGCAGTGGCAGCAGCAGCCCAGAGAGCTAAGATTTCCCTTGCCCTCACCCATGTTGCTGCACACTCATGTCAATGCCCCCGCCCCCCACCAGCCATTCCTTGAGCTCCCTATACCTCTAGATGTCTCCTTATAGCTCCAACAGCTCTGAACACCAGCTACCACTAATCAAAGACTTCAGATTTTCTTAGCTAAGTGCACTAAAGAAACATTACAATCAAGAAAGCCAAGTTCAAAGAGAAAGCCAAGTATAACAAACACAGTTGGCAAGATACGAGACTCGATTATCTTCAGCCTGAATCTGCAGTAATACCATAGGTCAGAGAGTTTCAAGCATGCAAAAACTTCACATTACTTCATTCCCCTCCTCATGTTTTCTTCACATCAGTGACTAGAGGTGCCTGTACCTTTGCTCTGGAATGGGGGTCAGAGGATTTTCCAGCATTGAAGCGCATGATAAAAATGCAAAGAAAAACAGAAGGAGGGAGCAGAGAAGGGAAAAGAGAAACTGTACATGAGAGAATCTATGCATATTCTAGCTGATCTGTGTCTCTTTCTGGTCCTACTGAAGTAAAGTATTTTGTAAGCAAAAGTGGTGCATCAAATCTGTACTTCACTTTCAAAACTATGCTTTTGTCACTGTCTACTCTCCCAGTGAGAGAGAACTGCTGAGACTCCAGTGCCAAGTTCAGAGTACACTTCAGTTGAAGTAAAAAAGTTTACTGTCATATTTACCTGGTGATTTATTCCGATATGTACATGTTTCACTCCATGTTTGTTGACAGAATTTAGTTCTAGCTTTTTTTTTTTCATTGTTTTTCCTAGGTCTTTTCTGGCTCTTCTCATAAGGCACTTGGAATCCTGAGCGCAGTATCATTGTTCAAGAGGCTGCAAGATGCTGGTCGCCTGTCTTACCACTCTTTTCCAATCCTGAATATAAGTTACAGTCTGTCACAATTCTTTGCATTTCACAGTAGAAACACGTTTTCTTATACAAAATATAATACACTGATTTCTCAAGTTACTAGCAATCAGGGGTGGATGTAGGGAGGGCAGGCTTGAGGCTTATTCCATCCAAACTTTAAAATCAACTGCCTGGGAGGGGGAAGCAGTACTTCTATTCAGGTAGTGCTGAGAGTCAACTGATTTCATAGCTTATTATCAACATCTCCCCAACTCATGTTAATCTCTTTCCACTCCATACATGTTAGTGATCCTCTATCCTTTTTTAATGATCTTGATGTTTCACTATTCAAACCATTTTTTCCTGCAGTTTTGCTGCCTTCTCTTATTTTACAGCCCTGCAGTCTGTTTTTAGCTCTAGCTAAAACCTTTAGGCAGGGACAGATTATGACACGGTGGGACCCTAAGCTAGGGGTTCCCAACCTTTCTATGCTGCAACCTGCCAAACTGCAGACCGGAAGTGGCCATGACCCAGGAAACTGCAGACCACCCCACTTCCTTTCCACGCAGGTTCTTTTGACCCCAGGATCT